ATAGAGGTCTGTAATGTTTTGGCGTACGAAAAATACGCGACCAATGGTTCGTCATGCCACATCGGAAGCATTTGTCACTATCTTTTTTTTTCTTTCCATTCTTATCTCATTGACTCCCAACTTCTGGTGGGTAGTATTTTTGTTATGACCACCACGGGCGTTATGACGGCTTTGATTACGACCACGGCCCCGGTCATGACCACGGTCTCGAGCTTGTCCATTATTAGGATACGCTGCTATCGCATTTGTTTCAGGAAATGGAGCAGCACCCGTTGGACGGGCCTCATGATTTTTCAGCAAGAGCACATTGTTTTATTCAGCAAGAAGTAGGACAGAAATCAATTCTGAATACTTTTTATATCCCTTTTCACGATATTGCTGCTGCAGGAGCACATTAGATGCGTGAAACGTGGTATATGTTTTCTCTAGCATCTCCACATTAGAGATCTTTTCACCACACAATTTCAATAGAGAAGTGATTCGAAACATAGCTGAATTATATTCACTAACAGATTTAAAATCTTGCAAATGCAAATGCATCCACTCGTAACGAGCTCTAGGGAGGATAACAGTTTTCTGATGGTCATACCTTTCATTCAAACTCGTCCATAAAGTATATGGATCTTTTTCCGTCAAGTACTCTGCTTTCAGATCTTCATAAAGGTGGTGACGGAGAAAAATCATGGCTTTGTCTTTGTCCTAATTTGTGGCATTGTTTCCAGCTTTAATTGCTTCTTCTAAGCCATTTGAAGTGAGATGGATCTCAACATCAAGAATCCAGGATAAATAGTTCTTCCCGGATATGTCAAGAGAGACAAATTCAAGTTTTGCAAGGTTAGACATCTTGATAAAAGAAACAAAAGCAATTAACAATACTTACCCAACCAAAACTAGCAAGAGGTAGAGACTCGTACTAATAACGTGTTATAAATATAAATTGAAGAACAAAGTTATGAAACTGAGAGAAAGAACAAGTAGGGAGAGAGAACAATAGAGAGGGAGAAAGAGAGAATGATCTGTGTATTATTTCTACAGAGATTGGTCTCCTTTTATGGGCATAGCAGACACAAAGATAAGAGCAAATAGAGATAACATCTAACTGGTAATAACATCTAATAAATATTATCTCTATACAAAGAGTTCTTGTATAGCTCTACTAGTTTATAGACATCCATATTATCATATAATTATAACATATACCTCAATATAATTCTTCTGGATTTCCAATTATTTTTCCTGGATAAATTCATGCAGGGTAAACAAATTACAAATTATATTCCATTTCTAGAGTTTAGACTCATTGATGTGATGAGCAGGAGAACTAAAACGTCATTTCTGGTTTGATATCTGAATTGTGGCCTAAAAGAAGAGAAAATTGATGAACGCTTCAAAATTGCTAACCCCACGACAATCTTTAATCTAAATAATAAAATAAGTGCCTTCAATCCCAGGAGACCTTATTTGCCGAAAATATTTGTTTTTTTAAAACCTAATGAGTTGGTTCTTGCAGAATTTGATGAGACTCATGAGAGAAATAATATAGGGTAAAGATAGGGATAATATAGTCTTTTGATGCATAAAAATATGTAATAAATATTTTGGCATATATTACAATTAATAAATAAACTGAACGTCCTTTTTAATAAGAGTGAACCTCAAAACAAGTCATCAATCTTTAATATATTTTCACTCTAGGTCATCAATTAAATTTATTTGTAGCACAGGTTACCTTACTAAAGTTTTAATCCATTTCAGATTATTCTGTTAATTTTGGCCGTTAAATAGTGACGGAAATCCATTTTTCACATGCTTTTGGGTTCATGGGTATTTTTGTCATTTTATTATTATTATTATTTTTTTAATCTTTTTATTTTTTTATTTTTTTTACAATTCTTCTTCTTATACTTGCTAACTTGTATACACTGGTAGTATAATTCTAAATTTTAAAACTTTATTTTTCTTTTGTATTTTAACTTTTAGATTATAAAAAATTTTAAAAAAAAATTCAGAAATGAAGAAGAAAAATTTGAGTTAAATTAAACATGAAAATAAATAATTTACCATTTTTTTAAAAAATAAAAATTAAAATAATTAGCTAAGACAAGTTTTTTTTTCTAGATTATTTAATTTTTTTCAACTTGATTGAATTATTTAATTATTAATTTTCACGTTTCTTATTTCTTTTTTTAATAATCTACAAGTTAATATACAAATAACAAATTAATTTTCAAAAACGAATTTGTTTGTCATTTATATCTTAACTTCTAGATTATAAAAAAAAAGAATAAGAAACGTGAAAATTAAATATTAAATAATTCAATCAAGTTGAACAAAATTAAATAACCTAGAAGAAACAACTTGTCTTAGCTAATTCTTTTAGTTTTTCTTTTTGTTTAAAATGGTAAATTATTAATTTTCATATTTACTTTAACTCGAATTTTTCTTCTTCATTTCTTAATTTTTTTTAAAAAAAATTATAATCTAAAAGTTAAAATACAAAAGAAAAATAAAGTTTTAAAATTTAAAATTATACTACCAGTGTATACAAGTTAGGAAGTATAAGAAGAAGAATTGTAAAAAAAAAAAATTAAAAAGATTAAAAAAATAAAAAATAATAATAAAATAACAAAAATACCCCTGAACCCAAAAGCATGTGAAAAATTGATTTCCGTCACTATTTAACGGTCAAAATTAACAGAATAATCTGAAATGGATTAAAACTTTAGTAAGGTAACCTATGCTACAAATAAATTTAATTGATGACATAGAGTGAAAATATATTAAAGATTGATGACTTGTTTTGAGGTTCACTCTTTTAATAAATATGATTCTTCCAATGCCTTTAATCAAAATTCTCCCTTTTATTCACTTTATAATGTTGTGGAAATGAAAATCTTATCATGTGACATGCAATGAAACATCATCAGCCAATTTATATATTCTTCTCATGCAACACATTTCAGAGTTCACTTAACTAAATGAATTTTTTGTCGCTTCATATATACTTTTATATGTATACGTTATTTTTTAAAAAAAAAATGTATAAATTAATTAGCTACCATTTATGCTTAGCACTAGAAAAATAAAACGCATAAATCACACATATTATACTCAGCAGAAAATTAATTTCGATTCTCAAAATTAAAATTTTGTATTGAGTCTTAAAAAATTACGTCCTTACCGTAAATTTAGGATTACGGCTACAAGTTTGATAACTGATGATATATACTATACTCACTCCGTTCTAAATTAAGTATCGTTTTAATAAAATAGAAAATTGTTAAAATAAGTGTCGTTCTCACATTTCAATGCACTTTTTTGTCCAAAATTTCCAAAATTACCCTTGAAAGAATTAATATTATTGTTGGATATTTTTTTTAATGGGATTGGTTGAGGATAATCAAGTAATTTTATTATCCTATTTAAGAGTTTCTTAAAATATGTACAAAGTGTAGAATGACACTTATTTTGGAATGGAGGGAGTACAATTTAGGAACACGAACAACAATTAAAGATGTGCACACTTTTTGATCATAATGATTTGAAAGAAATACTAATAAATACTCTGTTTATGTTGATATATTGTTTTCTTAATTTAACTAAATGGATTGTTTCTCTTGATACATAGATTGTGATAAATAAAAAACAGAAGGGAAAAAAAATTTTATGGAAGAAGAAAATGGTTAGACAGGGGGGAAGGGGACAAGTACGATGTAACACCAAAAGGAAGCAAAACACCAAAATGTGAACATAAAGCTCTCACCATACAACCACCAAATATATGGGAGAAGACAGTAAACGGCGGCCGTACTCTCACGCGCTTCATCAATTTCAAATACTCCTATTTTATCGTTACTCGGCAGATATTCTGATGATGTGTTCTTCTTCTTCTTCTTCACGCGTCCTCGTAGACCACTACCACTTCTTTATTAGTATTTCAATTTTTAAATTATTTCATATCTTAATCATGTCTTCTTGTTGATGAATTTTTTTTAAGACAAACAGCTCAACTTTCATTAAATATACTTAATCTTTTTTCTCTTTTATGAAATTAAGTATACGCTAATTAATTTTGATTTTTGAGAAGTTGGATTGTACGAAGGGCTGATTTTATGCATTTGTAATAATAACATATCACTTTTTTCCGTCTTATCTAACCTGAAATCCCGATATAAATATTGCATTTATATTTAACAATTACATTATCATAAATTTAACGAATAAAACTAAAGTGGCATATAAGAGGGGAAACACCTTTTGTTCCTCTATCTATAACACCTTTTGGAGTATTTTTATTCCTTTCCAGTTTCCATTAGTCCTTTTAGCTTCTTTATTTATATATATAATTTTATTATTGACTAATTTAATGTAGTTACAAATCAGTCAAACGCATTAAACTAAAACCGGTATAAACAATTGTGCCAACAAATTAGTGCACTACATGCACTATTATATAAAATCAAGGGATTCCATCATTACTTATGCTTTTTTAGTACTAAAATTAAATAGACTAGATGACTAATACGAGCTAAACATGATAATGCCGTGAATTAGGCTTTAGCCTGAGTGGTAAGATTCAGAATACAGTTCTGTGTGAGCGGTCTAAGGATTGGATCAAGGCTAAAAAGGATAACTTGAGTTATTTATTTACATACAATTGATCTTTCCAAAAATCAAAAGGAAAAAAAAAGGAAAATGGAGGGAATATAATTCCATCATCATTTGGACGGTTGAGATCTTCTTCTAAGAAACAACGATTCCAAGGGAACAGGTTCCCACACATTGGATTTTTTTTTTTTTTTTGGCTATAAATACTCTCATTTTGTTCCACTTTCTTTTGGAGCTTCTCACTCTCATCACTCTTTCATTCTTCCAATTCCATACCTCAAAATTTCATGCTTTCGTTTGCTCCCTATCTTCTTTTCCTGGTACTAATTCTTCCTGCTCTAATCATCATTTACTCCTTCCTCTTTTCAATTCTGAGCTCCAAGAAACAAGAAATGGACAATTATGATGGTTATGGTTGGGAAAATAATCTCTTCTTGCCCACTGAAGAACTTGTTGACAGGTGATTTTCTTCTGGGTCTTTTTTATTCTCCTCAATTTTTTCTTTTTTTTTGGGGGGGTTTAATTGAATGAATTTCTTGATGGGTTTTTCTTCTTTTTTTTTTTTTTCTGCAGTTACTTTGATGAATCGTTATCGTACTACGATTCCAGTTCACCTGATGGGTCACAATCTTCATCGGCATCTAAGAACATAGTTTCAGAGAGAAACAGAAGGAAGAAGCTCAATGAAAGATTATTTGCTCTTAGAGCTGTGGTCCCTAATATTAGCAAGGCAAAAAAAACATACCTTAATTTTCTGGGCATTTTGGATAATCAAATTTTTCAATTTTGGGCAAAATTTCTAAATGGGTTTTTTAATTTGATTTTTAGATGGACAAGGCTTCAATTATTAAAGACGCCATTGATTATATTCAAGAACTTCATGACCAAGAGAGAAGGGTTCGATCAGAAATCACGGATTTGGAGTCAAAGAGGAGCTTTTTTGTGGAATTCGATCAAGAAATGAGCTTCTGCTCTAAACCCAAGCGATCAAAGTTTGAGGAGATGATGCCTTGTGATTTTGGTGTTTCCAGATCATCAATCCCTGTTGAACTCATTGAGGTGTGGACCTCTCTTTTCCTCTTTATTATTTTATCATCAAAAATAGAAATTGTGTACTAAACTTTTGTGTTGGTTATAGTTTGGGATGGGGTGGGTCCATTCTACAATCATGCATTAGTCAGTTCTATTATCTTTGATGATTAAAGTTTTTCAAAATCAATTTTCAATCTCCATATCACTAACTGATATTCCCTCCATCTCAAAATTATTGTCCTATTTGAATTTTCATTTTCAGTTTAAATTATATTAAAATTGAAAATATAAAGTGGACAATAATTTTGGGACTGAAGAATATATATTATGTAAATAAAGTAGTACTAACATGGTTTTTCATTTATTTGATTATGATTGTCACATAACATTTACTACATGTGATTGATTAATGTTCTACTATGTTGTTTAAAGTTTCTTGAATTGTGATATTTTTGGAGTTTGAATAAATTGTTTGACAGCTAAGGGTGTCTCACATGGGAGAGAAGACAGTGGTGGTGAGTCTCACATGTGGTAAAAGTACAGACACATTGGTAAAGATTTGTGAAGCCTTTGAATCTTTGGATCTCAAGGTTGTGACTGCAAACATCACCTCCTTTTCTGAAAAGCTCCTGAAAACTGTCTTCTTAGAGGTAACATTTCTCATCTTCTTTCCAACCTACCTTAATTTGTTACACTGCAATCATGTCGGGACGGAAAGAGTATCTATTTTACTGTTAAAAAATTAATAACCATATGTAATAATTGATTATGAAATAAGACATTATTAGAAATCATTGTCGTCATCATCATCTAGTATACATGACTATTATTTTTTAAAAAAACTAAAACATCACTGTTATACAAAATCATTTGATTGGAAATCTTTTCTTGTGACAATAGGTTACCTCCTCTAGATTTTAGGATGCTACGGATATACTCGTTTCGTTCATATTTATTTTCTAGCTATTAATTTATCTTATTTATCAGACCATTTGCACTAATTGTAACCTGTTCTTGCTTCATAGTTCATACCAACGTTGTTAGTCAAGGTCTTAGTTTTGTTTTGTTTTCTTTCTGTTTTTTTTTTCCCCTTGGCATTCATCAATAATTGAAACTACCGCGTATAATATGAGTTTGACTGATGAAAGGACAAAATAACCAAATTGTAATACTTCTAATACATGCCAACTTAATGTCGGTGCTGTAGATATTTCATATATACATAACTCAGTAACATGTTTTCATTGATATATCATTCTTTATACTAATATTCATTAGTAAACGAAAGCAATTAGTAAAAAATTGCTAGGGGGGAACACAAAGACGACTGACTAATATATGGAATTCAGAAGTAATAAATGGACAATTAATAGGTATGTCTTCTAGGGCCATATAACATAAATTTCTCCTCAGCTATGGACCCAGTTGATTTTTTATGAATTGGTAGATTTTATTATTTTTTTTTTAACTAAAAAAACCTTTGATGAACTTGCATACCTACCTTCTACTTGTGGAAACCAAATATGTTGGACTTGGATCACCTACTCACTCAATTAATCATTATTGTGATACTCCATCTAGTCTAAAATTATTGTCCAGTTTTTGTATCAAATACAAGAATAAACCAAACAATCACATATAGGTTGATAGAGTTAAATATTTTCAAGTCGCGGAATTATGTCCGTTTCTGTATTAGTTAAATTGATTGAGTTCAACTCATATGGTTATGTTTTGGAATAGGAATAATATTACAATGATAAAAAAAAAAAAAAAGTTGCAAAGGATCAATACTGCAATTACGATGATTACTTGTGTAGGGCGTAGTGGATGACTGACCAAACAATAAAATACACTAATTATTAGTCAAGTCACTTGTTAATTTTTTAAGTGCCCAAATTAGAACACGATCGTGTTGACGCACTATTCTGATACACAGAACCATGGACTTAAAAATAAATCAATTCTTGAAGCCAAAAGGCTCGTTTCTCCACAAAGAGAGGGTTCGTAACTCATAAAATGAAAGCTAAACCTTTTATTCTGTGGTGTAAAAATTGGCGGTAAAATTACATATAATCGAGGTGGTAAAACACGTTTGTGTTGCCTTTATTTTTTTTCCCCGCATGGAAATAGTTTGAAGCTGACCTTACTTTCTAGGCTGAGGGTGGGCCTGTGTTTTGGGAAAAACCGAACCGAAACTGGTCCGATCCGAACCAATACAGATATTCATATTTTTCAAACCGAACCAAATTGATTTGAACCGATAGAGACAAATATTTTAATATGGTTTTCACTTTATATACAATTTAAGCGAGAAATAAAATTCTAAATCAAATAATTATTTTGAGATAAGAAAAGAATAAAAATAGTCAGTATATAGCAATGTCATCAATTGCTTAGGTGCAGGAAGATTTTTGCACAAAGCAGTGGGGTATATGAGTCAATCCGTTTGTGGACCGCTTTAGTAAAGGCGTTTTTGGCTTTACTAACGTTTGGGCGAGATTCCCCTTGGATGGTAGCATCTCGTATTGTCGTGTTTAAACTTTTTTTTTTTTTTTTTGGAAGAAAGGTTTTCTGTTTAAACTTGATCATTCTATTCATGTGTTTCTTTACAATTACCATTGATAATGCCACGATAAAAATGTGATATAAATGATTTTCATGTCAAGCCATAGTGTCAATATCAAATCAAATCAAGTTATCGTGTTGAAAAATAGTCATCCTCCAAGATTGATGATGAGAATTTCCCAAGTATCAAAACTCGTGTAGGGCCCTAATGTTTCCCGTTAAAAATAAAAATTAAAATCTGCAGGCCCTAAAAACTTATATGCCCTTAAAGGAAAAAGGGGGAAGAAAAGAAAAAAAGATTATCAAATGAAAAGAAAAAGTTCAGTAGGCCACTCAATAATTGGCGAATTCATGAAAAGACAGTAGTGATTTTGTACAGTGAAGGTAACGGTCTTTCCGCTTATTGTTATGTTTTCTTTTAAATTGATACTAGATGTTTGCTCGGGCGAATGCCCGAAATACCACCTGTATTTTTAAATGGAAGAATAAAAAATCGATTGAAAGGACAGGAAGTGAGTTATTACATATAAATCGATTAAATAAAAAAATACGAATTATTCTTAAAAGAATAAAAAAAATAGAAGAATAAAAAATCGATTGAAAGAACAGGAAGTGAGTTATTATATATAAATCTATACCCAGATCTACAATATTTAATTTATAACAGTTAACTTATGCCTGGGTTTACATAAATCATAAACTAATATCTACAAAAAAAAAAACCATCTTTAAAAAATCAAATTTCTTTCATGTTAGCTTATTTTTTCTTTGTTGTAGAAAGAGATGGATTGATAATTGATGTCAGATTTTAAGTAATTGATTTAAAGGCCCGGGTGTGAGAGAGAAGCGGAATGAAAGAGATCTTTTAAAATTGGGGATTGGAAAGACATTATTGGTGTTTCACTTGATTTAAGTGAATTTCCTTACATTTGATTTTATCAACTAAAGATTGTTATTTTAAGGGATTAGTATATACCTATAATTAAGAGATTTTTATATAACTATAATTAAGGGATTTATGTATTTATCTATTCCATCTTTTTTTTCTGATTTGTTAGAGTGCCACGTGTCAAAAATGATTTTGTACTGAAAATGACTTTTGGCGGGAAAATTCTATTGTGCTGCTGACACGTATTCTTTTTGTTTGCTGCTTTAATTAAGTAATATAGATTTATAGTTTTAATGTAGTCTTTTCACTTTTTTTAACAACCACAACAAATATTTCTTATTGTTTTGAATTAAAATGTTGTGACTTTCTTTTCCCCAAATTAGGGACAGTCCTAAACTGGATGATTTTTTATATTATTTTAATTTGAGTAAAGTTGGGGGATGAATAGTTTTTTCTTTTTTTAAAAAAATTTTAGTAGTAAAAATTGATTACGCAAGAAGAGAAGGACACGAAGAATCTCTTTCTTGAAAATTAGTTTAGACTCCCTTTGTTTGGGCGTTTTTGTACTGCCCGTCTTTTTTCTTTTCATTTATTAATGAGTTTATAACATACTTTTTCTTTTGACGTTGTATACTCCTCTTTACCACACGAATTTACATTCCTATGTTCAAAAGCACATAATTTATTGTTACATATTTTCTAATTTTTCTTTACCAATTGTCGAATTGTGCATGATTCGCAGCTTTCAATTCCAATGAAGAACCCAGTCACTAACAAATAACAATCCTTTTCAATAATATTGATTTGTCTTCCAATCTTTATACCGATGGTGATGTTGCGACTTTACTGTACTTGTTGGCAATCCCTTTTACCCTATTAAAGCAGAATACAGGATGTTGATGTGGCAACTTCTTATTAAAAATTTTTGGCTCCAAATGCACCATATTGTATTAACCATTCTGCCACGTGTCATCACTTTTTAAAAGAAAAAAAAAATTCTTATCCAGAAAAACAAAAGCTACTTTACAAAAATAGCTACACAATTTTAACTCCTAACATTTATCATTTATCAATCAAATTAAAATAGTATTTAAATTTGTCCATAAACTTATCCTCTTTATTACTTCATATTCTTTTGTATGATTTCTGAATCGTTGTACTTTTCAATATTTTTTCTCCTTTGGCAAATGATTTTTTTATTTTTATAATTATTTTTTGCTAAAAAGGAAAAAAAAACAAATGTGTAGCTATTTTATTTTTTCCAAATCAAGAATTCATTTATCTATTAACATAAAATTAAAGTAGAGGGGCGCCCAGGCATCTGCCTGGGCCAAGCATCTAGTTCTTTTTAATGCAAATTCACAATCAAATACAAATTTTTTACACGTCTCAGCCTTAGTTAGACAAAAGTCATTTCGGTTTGTCGTTTCTTTCTACAGGAACCTTGACGTATTATTATACCGTGCTCAAACAAAGATTAATAATACTCCCTCCGTCCCATAATTATTGTCCATTTTGTTCAAAAAATTTTGTTCCAAAATTATTGTCTAATTTAACTTTTTATGGATTAAGTTACACATTTGTCCTTAGTAAAAAATATTATCCATAAAATCTTAGTAGTTAAACAATTACTTATGTAGGGGTATATCCGGTTGTTTAAGGTAAAATATAATTAAGTTTGACTAAAAATAAAATTTTTCATTTTAGTAAAACTGGATAATAATTATGGAACGGAGGGAGTACTATTTCCGTCTAAAGAAAAGTTTATTTAAATTTTGAAATTTGCATTAAAAATAATAAAAATATGAAAACTCATTGTAGACTCGTTTTTTTGGGATGGAGGTAAAAACTGATCAACTATAGTATTAAGATGTAGACATTTTTTACTTTCAAGTGTTTTAATACCTAATTTTTAACCATTATTGTTCAGGCAGAGGAGGCAGAAAAAGATGATGTAAAAAACAGGATTGAGACAGCAATTGCAGCATTAAATGGCCCAGACAGCCCTATGAGCACCTAGTTAAGGGGGAAAAAATGTGCCTGAAGTGGGCTCACGCCCATCAGTTAGATTGGGCTTGATTTGACAAGTCTTTGGGAGGAAAGAATTTACTGTCAATCACACAGTTTTCGTTTTTACCTTCTCTTTTGCAGAGGTTTTTTTTTATTGTGTGGTTAGGCTCCAGGGTTTACAGCTTTACGTTTTTATTCCTACCCAAAGAAAGAATTATATGAGAAGTTAGTTTTTCCTTTTTAAAATCACCACAGCATGTTAAATAGTAGTATTGTACTCCTGTCTCTTTCTTAAAAAAAAAAATTCATATTGAGTTTTGAGATTTGTATGTTTATTTTGATCTTTGAGATTTGTAAGATTTATACTTAGATCTCAAAACTTAATATGACTTTTTTTTTTTTTTTGGACAGCAAGGGTACACTACTAAATACTAATGAGTGAGGATGAGTCCCAGTCTAAAATATTGATGAAGTATATCAAGTAAAATTCAATCAAATGAAATCAATCATCAACTCATTGATTTTAAATAAGACTATAATAAATTTTTATTTACAAAATAACTGATTCGAAAATAAACTTCAATAAAAGGCATGAATATTTACAAAATTCCAAATCAAAATGATATTGAAAATAAGTCATTTGATGAAAAAACAACCCCAGTAAATATTGTTCCAGCTTTTCATGACCTTAGAAAGAATCCAACAATTTTTCAACCCACTGTTAATTCACTCTTTGAATTCAGTATTTCATCAATTCTTTTGATCCATAGGAAATGCCAAAGTTTTCAGTTGACACCCTCGGACCAATTCCTCAAAAATTGGGATCCAATGATTTAATGTGACATTTATGTGACTGCAGTGCAGGGATCTCTTACTAGCTGAGAGTTTGACTCTCTTGCAAAAGTGCCTTAGCGCAACATTTGTAGTTTTGTACTACCTTGATCGTAAACATATAATTCATATAACTTTTGATTTTTAGTACAAATCTGAAAATTTAATGAAAATTATTTTTTTTAAACAGAGGAAATAAATTTTATACTATACAATAGTTTCAGAGGAGTTTGAATACTGTCAAAAACTTAGGGCGGCCTCTCTCGAATATCTGGTCTCATTTTCAGCTCGAAAACTACTAAAAAGTATAATGCTTTCCAATTATAAAAAATAATAATGATAATAATAATAATAATAACCATGATGCAGCTCTGGCAATGCGTACGGATCCTTCAGCTTTTCCAGCTGAATTTAGCAAGTATTTGACAAGCACTTTAATGGCTTCTCTGATTTTCTCACATTTTCTTTGTTTTCATTAGATGTTTATTTTGTTTTATATAATGAGGAGAATGCATTGCTCTGGAAATTTGGATCCAATCATGTTTAGGTCATTTTTTTAGTGTGTGTTTTTTAAGTGTTTTTTCTATTAAAAATGCAAAAAAGTATGTTGGGTTGAGACAGTTAATATTATATTATTTTGAAAAAACCATAAAAAAACCAACCAAATAGTGACGTTGGCGTAATTTTACTCTTTATTATATTCTACGTTCGGAAATACTCCCTCCGGTCTTTATTATAAGGTATTTTGATTTCGTCCTAGGTTTTCACCTAAGATGTCTTTTTAATTGAATTAAAAACCTTAAAAACATTTCATAATAATTAGCAGAATACAACGAATGTGAAAATATATTTTTAAGATTTTTTTTTCAATTAAAAAAAATTCTAAGTTAACCTATGACGAAATTAAAATGTCTTATAATAAGAACCGGAGGGAGTAGTAGTTATCTAATTTTTCTTTTTTATTAGTAATACTATGAAATTAAAAACAATCATTTTGAAATATAATAAAGATACAAATTTCTTTTTGCGTCTCCCTCCACAAGCATTTGACTTTTCCTTCACTTGACAACAATCAATTAACCTGGAATGTATCTTAAACCTATGTGGTAGAAGTCTGAACGAATTTATTTAAAATAAAGGATGACTCAAATTGGGTGGGTATGGTTTTATGGTTTGGTAAAAAAAAAAAGGAAAAAAATCAATTAACATCTCTAACGATTGCAAGGGTTTTCGTTATATCAAGGAAAATAAGCGTTATTTTTCTTGATACAATAATCATAAAAAAATGTTATATCAACGGTACATTGTGAATGCTTCTTCACAATTATTTGTTCAGATACAAGGTTTTTTTTTAGCATAAAATAGCTATGTCACTCATATACTATTCCTTGCTTTAGGTGGAAATCCTGCCTTCAATCATCTTCAACACTTCCTCTATTGAGTAGTAATTATAGGCATCATCTTCTAATATGTCTCCCCCAACATAAAGTATTCTTCACATGGGTCACCATTAAATCCTTAATTTCTTTCTTGGTTCGTCGTCCAGTCACTATCTTCCTTCTTTAGTTGGGTGATATAATTCCTCCCTTTCCTCTTCTGAGCTGAGTCACGGAATAAGTTTGTATTGCCCTCTCCCCATGTTAACTATGTCATCTTTGCACTTTGTTCCGAATACTCTCTCTGATCCTCGAGGAGTACATCTAGCTCTTAACTTAATTCTTTGGTCACTTCATCTTCTTTTTGTTTTTCCCCAATTCTCCTCATCGATTCCTTACTTTTGATCTCAATGAAGCCAATAGATACCTATGCCAGTTTCTCAGGTGCCTCATTATGTTCTCGGACTAGTTTCTCCTAATGATTTGATCTACTACCTCATATTTAACCCATAACGTCTCGAACTTTGGCTTCATCTGAATTCTTCTTTCTCTCAGCCATAGTTCTAATACAAGTGGACCCTGATCCGATCTCATAACTAACAAGTTTTCAAGAATTGGCTTATTGAATAATGATTGCTACCCCTCATTCACAAAAGCCATGTCTAACCTCTCCTTCACTTCTTCACTTCCGCTTCTTCTGTTTGACCAAGTAAATACACCCCTCTGTTCCATACCTATTCCCAATCTTCCCAATAGGTATCTTCTTATAGCCTCTTTCCCCTTCTTTCTTATTGGATTTCCTCCTTTTATGTCTATATAATTAATCACCTGATTAAAGTCTCTCACAAAATAACGGGCTAACCTCCAAAAGAACAAAATTTTGGATTTTGTTTATCACATTAGCCAGTACAAAGTTTTCCCTTGCTACACATAATTCACCCACTAGCCTTATTGGATTCTCTATATCATAACAGCCAAAATGTGTGGATTGCAACCATTTACTTACTTTACAGCTATTACACATAATTTTTAAGAGATACAAAATACCAGGATAGTACATATATAAGAACTAACTTGTTGGAGAAATTAACTATAGGGGTTTGTCTTATTCCCCTACAGTTCCGACAAAATAGCATCATGGTTGTTGTGGTGACTGCTTTGGGACAACCAACTCAACCGCTTCATCTAGACCTTTCACAGAGTTCAAGATCATAGAATTACCTCAGGAATTAGCGTTGTAATAATAATAACATCCTTTGTGTCTTGCATTTCACTATCTGATTCATCCCTCTCTTGTCTTCCCAAAATTCTACTTACTTCTTCTTTTGACAGTTGTTGATCTATTCTTCTTTCATACACCTTCGAAGTCTCCAACGATATAAAATTCTCTTCCTTCCTCTCGTGCAACTTTTGTCTCTCGGTACTGTTTCATCCTTAATTATCACACTTCCATAACTCCATATTTCTATCATCGCCCCATGATTCTTCACATTTCCCTCTACACAGACCAATATCTATATCCAACTTCCCCACCACTTTTTCCTCTTCTTGGATCATTCCAAATACTCCTCATGCTTCAATAATCCCCCAACCCGAACTTCCACTTTTACTATTTCCATCACTGGCGGTGCCGACCGTGCTTGTCCTCCTTTCCCCCTTCATCTTTTCTTGGCTTCTTCAATTTACCACCAATATACATTTTTGCTCCCTTTGCTCTTTCTCCTCATGTACTCCGCTAGCCCTAAGCCTTCCACCATTGTATGTCCCCAAAATTTTTCCGTTCTCCAGCTCCCTGCGTCGACCATTGTGCCTGTTTTTTCTGTAGAACTCCTCCAAAGTCATCTTGACAGATTATCTTTTGGAACTTGTCTTTGACCTTTGACCCTTATGGCCCATTTTTCAAATAGCATCCTTCCTTTCTTTTTAACTAGTCCATTAATTTGCTCATGGTATGCTTCAATAACCACCAGCTTACTATTCGTCAACCTAATACCTTGTTGAAGCCTTACTCACCTTACCCAAATTTTGGGTTTTAATAGTACTTGGTCCGGCAATATTCAAGCCTGTTTGATTTGCCCATTCATGAATTGTCCCAAACCTTCCGACCCACATGCTTCGCGCCATCCCACCTGTCCGAATTCATTCTCTTCATTTCCACTCAGCCTTAAAATCCTCTTCGCCCAAATTTAATGTGCCAAGTCTCATAGTTTGTCTGAATCTTCATTCACATTAATTTTCCCCTCTTTATGTCCCACCAACTAACTTTCTTTCCCTTCTTCAGTAAACTTCTCTTTCAACTCAAATTTCTTTGACCCAAAATTTTGCTCAGACTCATCAACGTCCCATAACACAATTAAATTCATCCCTCAAAATTCTGTTCCTTTTTACCAAATTTCTTTTCCCCTTCATAATTATTGCTATTAAAACTCCCATTAATAATTCTGACTTCCAAATCTTTGGTGGTGAAAAATTCATTAATTTGGTACAACTTTTTTACTAAATTAAAAAATCCATTTCTCACTTGTCCTATCCTTATTTTTTTTGTCAAGGACGATATTCATTTTCCATATAGAGTTGAAAAAGATAATTACAATGAGCTATTACAATCGGCCTTAAAAGTTTCATCTAGCCACAATGGAACATTACTACTCCAAGATTGTGTGCATTTGCTAGATAGAGCTAAGTTAGCCAAGTTGTGACAACAAGAGTTCCATTGTTTTTTGATAAACAGGAACTTACGGTGAACAAAACATTCCTTAAGCAAAGAGATGTCATCAACTATGGTTGCTACTTCTGAAACAGGGTTAGAATACCCTTGTAACCAAGTAACCATAGTTTTCACATCTAATTGCACTTCTACCTTATCTATTTTCCTTGCCTGAGCTACTTGTAGCGCTGTTCTGACTGTTTGAAGCTCATTTGCACACTCAGACAGTTGCTGCTGTTGATAATAAGATGCTGCAACAATTAGATCACCTTCCTCAGACCTTATACAAAAGGCTCTGTCACTTTCTTCCTTTCCAATGGCTCTTTCAGTTGCAATATTGACTCTACAAAAGCCCCTTTCTAGTTTCTGCCAGCTTTGGTTCCCTTCCTTTCTCTGATTCTGATAGCAATCTCGTAGACGAAGCAAATTTCGTTAATGCAACCATCAACAAGAAAGTACAAAGATAATTTTGTCTATCCCGTGAAACTCAAAAGCGTGCGGAAAATTCACAGTAAGACGATCGTTTATCTAAGTGATTCTATCTCTTAACTCAATCCAAGCAAAGAACACATTATCCATGAAAGATTCGAATTAAACAACAACCCACGCTAAGAATAGCAAGGACTCCATTCAATATACTCGATCAGTCATCTATCAAGAGACTCAAGAAAGGTAGGAGCAAACAATGCCCAACTATGAAGGAATACTATTGATTAGTAATCTTCATAACCAACCAAAGATATGCAACACATACACTATCTCAAAATGCTTATGCCAAAGCACAACTCATCCAACAAAAAGTAAGACAAACCCCACAATGGATCTCATGAACACACTCATCATGAAATTCGAACACCAAGCCAAAGGAAAGGCTCATCAATCGAACTACTAGAAGTAGTATGAAAATAAGAAGTTTAGTTTTAAAACAATTCTATCAAGAAGTATACTTGAAAAAGAATGGTTTCTGCAATTTCAAAAAGATCCAAGACAAGATGAAAACCCTCTTGGTTTAATCATACTTGACACGAAAAATGGACACTCCATTTAACAAAAATTCCTCACGGAAAAACTCTCAAAAGAGACAACAAAATGACCACTCAAGGGTGCTTCTAAAATTCGGCCAAGCCTCCTATATATAGGCTTGAATTTTCGGCCAGCACCACTAAAAAGAAGACCAATTAGGACTCTCTAATCTTATCTCACAAGGAGTAAAAGTAGAAGAGTACTTGATCTCTTTGACTCTATCTAAAATCTAGGAAACCTTATCTAAATGACTTATCCTCAAGTATGATAATATCTAGAAGGAATCTAAGACTCCTAATCAAAACACTCTAGTTTAATTCAGTCCACATGACTTATTTAACTAGATAAAAATTCAAAAATTGACTCCTAGACTTAGACTAACTCTAATCTCGAAATTCAGCTCCAAATTATTGAAGTAAAATGTCTTGAACGCCCTTCCAAAAGTGGAATATTGGTCTTGCGCCTCTTAAGTTGTAGATAACTCCAATTTACTCCAAAACTTGTAGAATTCTCTTTATTGACTCCAAAAGATTGGAAAAACACTTGAAACAATTAAGATAGTTTGCAACTTATCCAATTGTGTAGCAATGGACTCAATCTTGAACACTTTGATCAAATAGGCCGTCCACTCATGAACCTAAATGACTCTTCTTACTAGCTTGATCAATAATCTTCATGGAGCACACAGAGTCAAACTCTCTTGATACTCTTCAGCACTTATTTCCATGAGGTCTTCATCTCCTTTGGTTTGAACCCCAAAGTTAATGACATTCTCATCACCTTGATCATAGCTCTCTTGAACCAACTCCCTATCACATAGGAAGTCAAGATCCATTCTTTCTTCCTTGATTGGTTTGCAAAGTAAACTTGGCATTCCAATACTAGAATGAAGGACTAGCTCATTCCCCTCAGTAGGAGAACCTCCATGGAAGGCTACATGATTCTCATCATCCCCTCCTTCTTTAAGAGGATTCGTCCTCGAATCATCAACCTCTATACCTGCACAAGGAACAAACGAGATATAAGGGTTAGTAAAATCCTCACCCTCACCACACTCGATTTTCTCTCATTGCGTGCATTTTTTTCTGTTTCCACGCTATTTTCATGGTTTTCTCTCGCCTCAAGTCTTACCTCATCGTGACCCTTTTACTTTCTTGCGTCACTCGCTCGACTTTTCTCTCCCTTGTGTATAGGTTATCTTACGTCTTTTCTCTCGCATGATTCGATTCTTCATAAGCCAAAGGCTTAAGAATGTATTTTCTGTTCTCTTTAGTAAAGACAAAGATATTATTCGAGCAATGGTGCACGACATCTACATCCGATCGCCAAGGCCTACTTAGCAAAATATCACAAAGAGACATAGGAATTACATCAAAGTAAATTTCATCCCTATACTCACCAATCGAAAAGGTACCATGGCCTTTTAGTAACATCCACAACCATCTCTTCACTCAACCATTGAAGCTTGTATGGTCTAGTATGCGGATCCATCTTAATTCCGTTTGCTATGCAGAATTCCTCACTTACACAATCAGTACTCGACCCACCGTCGATTACCAAATCAACTTCATTGGACCACCCAACCGAACACTTAGTACGGAAGATACAAGTCCGTTGATCTCCATCTTCAGCTCCAAACACCAACCCCTAATCCTCAATTGGACCATTCCAACCACAAGAAGTATCATGCTCTCTTTCCACTTCTAAGGCAGCATAGTATGCCTCATAGAGCCTTGATTGTCTCCTTATCTTTGGGTGTTGTTTGAACCACTTGTCCAAGCCATAGTGGAAATGGTCTGTCAACATGTAGTCGTTCTCATCCACTTCTGAACTCAGAAACAACCCTTCTAATTCCTCAAAGTAAGATTGAATGGATCTACCATTCTGCTTATAATTGAGCAACTTCACTTTTGCTTCATCAAAGGTGTTAGTACCAGCATATCTTTCTCGCAAAGCACTTCTCAAATCATTCCAATCATCCAAATTACGATACCAATAATGCGAATAGATATTTGAAACTAGCTTCCACCAATTCAAAGCATTAGAACGAAAACAACCTATAGCTAAGGCTATTTTCTCACTCTCTTTCTCTATGTTAAGCAACACAAACAAATTCTCTATGCTCTTTCCCCAAGTATCATATTCTCTATGACAACCATAAAACAAAGGCAATGACACTTGCAACATTCCAGCATACGAGGGTACTTGTTTAACTTCAAAACAATCACATAAGACTCTTAAATTTTCAGCAATTTTCTCAAAACTTACCATAACTTTATCTTGCTGATTTGAAAGTAATTGAGACAAGTCTCGGTTTGCCTCCTTAACCTCGGCCAAAGCATCATGTAGGAAGTCAATTTGACTCTTCATGAGCTGTACTTGAGCCTCCATGCGACCCTCTACTCTCTTTGAAGCAGATTTGAGTACAACCAGCAACTCCGGATGACATCTTTGCTCAACAATTCTGAGAAACCACCAACAAAAGAAGTAATGTGCCTTGTTTACTACACAAAAACTCCTTGAACCCTAGAACCAAAGTTTGGTTCGGCTGAAACCCCCCCAAGAACCAAAGGAAGGTTCGAATAAAGCTCTCCCCAAAAACAAAAACTCTCTTGTGCTTTTAAGAACACAACTCTCAAAATTTCAGAATTAAAGAGAAGAGTGCTTCTCTTGATTTTCTCTTTTGATCTCGGCAGCAAGAAAGAAGAAGAAAATTGGAGTAGAGTGATGTGAGAATTTTCGAAAAACAGCACCCCTAGTTATAGGTAATGCAAGTCTTTTTGTGCAAGAAAACTCCTACAAGATAGGACCTAAATTTTCTCAAAAATATTCCCCCCTCATTGATGAAGGCTGCTCGACAATGTGGAATAAAGAAGAAGAAAAACCGGCCTCATATATATAGATAAGGATAGAGTCCTAAAACTTAGGTAAACATAATCCTTTTTGGATACAAATTAGGAAAACTCATCCCTACTTATTAGAGATAAAATTTTCGACCCCCCCTACTACTAAAAGGACTCAAATACACGGCCACACACATGCACAATTGTATTAGAAGACTAAAAAAATTTTCAGATTAGGATAAAACTTCCTTATCTCAATAGTTTTCAAAAATAGACTCACTTTAAAACTCTAATTATAATCTCACTGAAATTATAAATTAACACATGCAAAAATTAGTATTTAAATCCAAGTAGGACTTAAATAAAACACACAATAAAATTGTATTACAATTAGGAAACAATGGCTGCAAATTTTCGGCCAATGTGAACACAAAAATCCAAAACCGAATAGGACTCAAATCATAACACAATTTGGACTCAATGACCTTAATTTTAGGGCTAAAATTTTCGGCCATGTGAACACACAAATACAAGACCAAATAGGTCTCCAAGTGTAACACAAATAGACAAGCAAAATTCAAGTTCAACTAGGACTAGGAAACCCTAATTTTTAGCTTCACAATTTCGGCTATACTATGACTCTAAAATTCAAAACCAACTAGGCTTAGAATACCACATAAATCACACGCACACACATGCAAAAAGTTAGCAAAATTTCGGCTATTAACCTTTTACCACATAGTTAAAATTTGAAAAATTACTTTTGACTCACTTAAAAAAGAAACTTGAAAATTACCACTTTCCAAAAATGGACAACAACTTTTAGAATCTTTCTAAAAACCCTTTTTCAAATTGTACTTGGAATTAACAAAAATCACTTTTTACCAAAACAATCCATGGCAAATAAAGTAACAAGAACACCATAATTATAATGAAGTAGAAAATTAAAGTTCCTTATTCAATTATGACATTTGCTTCATGATACTAAATTTAACACAAATCATTCTGAAAACTCAATGACTTAACAATACCATCTTCATAAGTGACCATTGAAAATCAATCTTCCAACAACCAAATATGTAAACTTTAAGAATACATCTCAAAGCCTATAAGATTTCTTGTCATACATTAAGAAAATCTTTTTAGAAAAACTTCACTCAATTTTCGGTCATACTCTCGAAAATCAAGGTTTTAAAACACAAGTCAAAGACTTCAATCCTTAAAGTTGGCACAATTCAACTTCAAAAGACCTTAAAACACTTTGATACCAAAACTGATATCACTTGACAAAGAAAGTTTTTGACTCAAACTCAAAGTGTAAAAACTCGAGAAAACAAGAAAACCAACATTTGTTACTTTTGAAAAATCTTTTGACACTAAGATTAAACAAAATTCGGTCTCTATGAAATTTTCATGAATTGAAAATCCATAAATTCCATTTTACTCATTAGATTCAAATGAAACCAACAAGAAGGAAGGCTTTTTCATTTATACTTTATGTAGAAAGTACAAAATCACTAAGCTTCACCTTTCAAAGATTAGATCCAAGATATTTACCACAAGATAAACTCTCAAATCCTCCTTATGTAAAGACATCTCTTTAGAAATAAAAGGCTATCTCGAGCAAGAAGCTCTTCTTTGGCATCAATTCTCTCCTTAAAGATCCAACGCATAAGATTCACTAACTTGCTCATAGGAGAAACAGTTCTCTACTTGCAAATCAAGGATAAATTTCAAGATGTAGCGCCCACTTTGATTAGATACCAACGTACCATCATCAAGCTCTCGCATAGACCTCAAAATAACACTACAAGATCAAACAAATGTGTAAGAAGTCTCGCACAACCACATAAAAGACAAGATCAATTTTGGAAACGTAGTTTTCACAAGAATTTGATTTATTTTTTTCAACACCCCATTCCAAAACAAGAAGGAACCTTGAAACAAATAAAGATAGTACTACTCGTTAAGTAGCACAAAGCTCGATCACCACACCAAGTAACGGATTCCGTGGTAATTCAAGATATTCTCAAAACCAAGAACTATGAAGTCCTCAACTAAGAAGAAATCTCTCGAAAATCAAACTGATAATAGGAATTGATATGATAATATCAATTAATATCATCACTAAGATAATCCAAGCTCTGATACCAAGAAACTGATAGCAATCTCGTAGACGAAGCAAATTTCGTTAATGCAACCATCAACAAGAAAGTACGAAGATAATTTTGTCTATCCTGTGAAACTCAAAAGAGTGCGGAAAATTCACAGTAAGACGATCGTTTATCTAAATGATTCTATCTCTTAACTCAAACCAAGCAAAGAACACATTATCCATGAAAGATTCGAATTAAACAACAACCCACGCTAAGAATAGCAAGGACACCATTCAATATACTCGATCAGTCATCATCAAGAGACTCAAGAAAGGTAGGAGCAAACAATGCCCAACTATGAAGGAATACTATTGATTAATAATCTTCATAACCAACCAAAGATATGCAACACATACACTATCTCAAAATGCTTATGCCAAAGCACAACTCATCCAACAAAAAGTAGGACAAACCCCACAATGGATCTCATGAACACACTCATCATGAAATTCGAACACTAAGCCAAAGGAAAGGCTCATCAATCGAACTACTAGAAGTAGTATGAAAATAAGAAGTTTAGTTTTAAAACAATTCTATCAAGAAGCATACTTGAAAAAGAATGGTTCCTGCAAGATCAAAAAGATCCAAGACAAGATGAAAACCCTCTTGGTTTAATCATACTTGACATGAAAAATGGACACTCCATTTAACAAAAATTCCTCACAGGAAAAACTCTCAAAAGAGACAACAAAAATGACCACTCAAGGGTGCTTCTAAAATTCGGCCAAGCCTCTTATATATAGGCTTGAATTTTCGGCCAGCACCACTAAAAAAAAGACCAATTAGGACTCTCTAATCTTATCTCACAAGGAGTAAAAGTAGAAGAGTACTTGATCTCTTTCACTCTATCTAAAATCTAGGAAACCTTATCTAAATGACTTATCCTCAAGTAGGATAATATCTAGAAGGAATCTACTCTAGTTTAATTCAGTCCACATGACTTATTTAACTAGATAAGAATTCGAAAATTGACTCCTAGACTTAGACTAATTCTAATCTCGAAATTCAGCTCCAAATTATTGAAGTAAAATGTCTTGAATGCCCTTCCAAAAATGGAATATTGGTCTTGCGTCCCTTAAGTTGTAGATAACTCCAATTTACTCCAAAACTTGTAGAATTCTCTTTATTGACTCCAAAAGATTGGAAAAACACTTGAAACAATTAAGATAGTTTGCAACCTATCCAATTGTGTAGCAATGGACTCAATCTTGAACACTTTGATCAAATAGGCCGTCCACTCATGAACCTAAATGACTCTTCTTACTAGCTTGATCAATGATCTTCATGGAGCACACAGAGTCAAACTCTCTTGATACTCTTCAGCACTTATTTCCATGAGGTCTTCATCTCCTTTGGTTTGAACCCCAAAGTTAATGACATTCTCATCACCTTGATCATAGCTCTCTTGAACCAACTCCCTATCACATAGGTAGTCAAGATCCATCCTTTCTTCCTTGATTGGTTTGCAAAGTAAACTTGGCATTCCAATACTAGAATGAAGGACTAGCTCATTCCCCTCAGTAGGAGAACCTCCATGGAAGGCTACATGATTCTCATCAGATTCGTTTGCACCCCCTCCTTCTTTCTTTGTGCACCTTCAAACTCACCCCATTCCTTCATTGCCCTTTGTATTACTTCCCATCCCTCATTCCTTTTTCCTTCAAAATTCCATGCATTCCTGGTTTTCCACAGTTGCCAAAGAATATAAATTGTAAGAGAGATTCGATCCTGCATACCTTTGCTAACCTGGGTCTCAGTAACAGCCCTCCACCAGAGAGGAAAATTTGTTGTGAGGTGATGGAATCCATCCCATTGGACTGGGGACAGTTTCCACACATTAATTGCCAGGGGACATGAGAACAACATATGTTCCAGGGTCTCACTCCCATCACCACATCCCTTACAGATTGTATCAACCTGCACCCTTCTTTTTGCCAGTGTAGATAGCATTGGCAACCATCCCTTATACATTTTCCATACAAAGTGCTTTAGCTTGGCTTTCACTGGCAGCTCCCATGTTCGCGTCCATAATCTTTTTGCCTCCTCTCTACCATAGCTAGTCCCTTCCCCACTATGTTCTCTTTTCTCTTTTACCTTGATCACTTCAGTGGTAGATGACACAGAATAGATTTCATTTCTTGCAGCCCCCCACACCAGTTTGTCCCCTCCCCCTAACAGACTCAGAGGAATCTGTTGAATCAATTTTGCTTCTTCTGGTACAAAGATACTCCTTACCACTTCCATTTTCCAGCTTTTTGTATTTTGATCAATTAGCTCTGCCACTCTTTCAGGATAATTTGTTTCCAATCCTCTCTTTTGCGGTCCTATAACACATGAGTCAGGGTATCATTTATCTTTCCAAACACTGATCCTCCTTCCATCTCCAACCCTCCATCGCATCCCCCTCTGAATAATATCTCTGGCACTCAACCAGCCTTTCCACAGCCAAGAGTCTTTCCCTTTTCGCTACACCTCAAATAATGAGCAGCGAGGATAGTACCTGCCTTTGATTACTTTTGCCATTAGGGAGTTTGGTTCCTATAGAAGACTCCATATCTTTTTAGACAGTAGAGCTGTATTTTTATTCTTGAATCTGCTAAAGCCCGACCCCCCTTCTTCCTTATCTTTTGCTAGCTTTTCCCAGGTACCCCAGTGCATCTTCTTCTTCCCTTCCTTTTCCCCCCACCAGAAGTTTGCCATATCCCTTTCCATCTTGTCACAGATATTGTCAGACAACTTATAACAGGACATCACATAGACTGGTAAAGCTTGTATAACGGCTTTTAGCAATACCTCTTTACCCGCCATTGACAGTAAGTTGCTTTTCCAGTTTTTCAGCTTCTGGGACACTGCATCCTCCACATAGTTAAACACCTGCGCCTTGGACCTCCCCACCACCAGAGGCAACCCTAGATATTTCGCCTTCTGTTGAACTTCAATCCCATTCATCTCTGCACATATAAGTTCTTTTTTCCAGTTAGGAATATTTTTGCTAAAATAAATGGAAGACTTATTCCAATTCACCTTCTAGCCAGAACACACATTATATTACTGCAATATATTTTTTAGGCACTGGATTTGCTCTAATTTAGCTTTACAAAACAATAGGGCATCATCAACAAAGAAAAGATGTGATATTTCAGGTCCTTCTTTACTAATTTTCATACCGCTCAACTTCTCTTTTCTAATTTCTTCTCTTATAAAATATGATAAGTCTTCTGAACATATAAGAAAAAGGTATGGTGACAGAGGTTCCCCTTACCTAATTCCCCGAGTTGGCTTTATATAACCCTTGGATTCCCCATTTATGTTCAATGAAAAGGAGGTTGTTTTCATACATTCTGCAATCCACCCAACAAATTGAAGGTCAAAGCCCATTTTAATCAGCATATAACTCAAAAAGCGCCATTCTATTCTATCATAAGCCTTAGCCATATCCAGCTTAATTGCCACATGGCCCTGTTTCCCAGATCGCAGGTTATTTAGATAATGGATGTATTCATGGGCTATTGCAACATTATCAAGGATTTGTCTACTCGACAAAAAAGCAGACTGATTTTCGCAAATACAAAATGGCAATAATGGCTTCAATCTATTAGCAAGTATTTTCGAAATAATTTTATACATAACGGTGCACAAACTAATTGGTCTAAACTGAGACACATTACTAGGACATCTGACTTTTGGAATAAACGACACAAGAGTATGGTTAAAAGCTTTTAGCATATGGTTGGACAAAAAGAAACTTTTTACCGCATTGCATACATCAACCTTAATAATATTCCAACAAGCCTGGAAAAAAAGAGGTGTCATACCGTCAATACCAGGTGCTTTATGAGGGTTCATTGAGAAGACAGCACCCTTGATTTCAGCATCTTCAATTGGACGAATTAAGGTTGTGTTCATTTGGTCTGTGATAGTGCAAGGTATCCCATCAAGCGTCTCTTCCCACCCAGCTTTATCCTCCGAGGCAAACAATTCCTTGTAGAATCCTTCTATCTCAGTTTCCACCTCCTGCTCCCCTTCGCACCAAGTACCATCCTCCCTCTCTAGTGATTCGATCCCGTTACTTTTTCTTCTTTGAACTGTTGTGGCATGAAAAAACTTTGAGTTTTTGTCCCCTTCCTTTAGCCAGGAATTTCTACTTTTTTGATACCAGTAACTCTCCTCTTCCTCATATGCCTTATCCAACAGAGCTTTCAGTTCCTTCCATTTTTGCCAATCTCTCTGGTCCCCTTCCTCCTTCATCTCATCCATGGCTTTTGAGATTATTTCAATCTGTTTTGCTGAGTGTAGCATTTGAGTTCTGCTCCATTTATTCAATTCCATTCTACATGCCTTAATCTTCATAGAGACCCTATGCATAGGTGAACCCTCAATAGGCAGAGTCCAGACTCTTTCTATCACCTCTTTAACACCATCTTTTTCCAACCACCTTTTATCAAAGTAGAATCTGCGAGATTTCCTCCTTAGATTATGCTCTATGTCGAGCACTAGCATGCAATGATCAGATGAATGCCTGGTGACATGTTGTGTCAGTGCATATCAGTGCATGTTGGTGCTCTAACAGCCATCTCGAAGACCCCAAAAATCTATCTAATCTCTCTTCTATAAACTCATCCCCACTCCGATTATATGACCAAGTCCAAGCTCTACCACTGAATCTAACCTCCTCCATCCCCATATCCGCTATAAAATTTCTGAAAGCATTATAGCTACTGTCACTTCTTTCCCTTCCTCCCCTCTTTTCATCCAGCTCCCTGATATCATTCAAGTCCCCCTCCCAGAAACCACAAATTACCCCAATCCCCCTGCCTTTTGATAAGTTTCAATCACTGCATTTTCCTTTCTTCTACACTAGTACTAGCATAAAAAAAAATCCCCCACATTGCCTCAGTTGAGCCTTTATAGTTAAAGTTAACTTCTATACAGAAATCAGAAGCCTTAATATCCAACACAGTTACCTCAGTACTCCAACCTATCGCCATACCCCCTTTTCTTCCAATCGGGTCCACAATAAACCATCTATCCCTAAGCCCTAGTTTCCTACCAACAGTCTTAACAAAGCTTCTTTTCTTCTTAGTTTCACATACAAACACCAAGTCAGGTTTATAGAGCCTGCATAACTCTTTGAGGTGTGAAACTGTAGAGAGACCTCCCAGTCCTCTACATTTCCATGACATAACTCTCATTGGAAACTTTGGGGCCAGTTTAGGTTGGCTACCCCCACCTCAGTATCAATCAGTATATTTTCATCTTTTAGGATAAACATCTCAACCCCAACCTCCAATCTACCTTTCTTTTGATGTTTGATGTTCTCCTCTTCCCCTAGTTCTCTTCCATCCCTGATTCTTTTGCTCCCCACCTCTGCCTTTCTTTCCTTCTCCATTTTACCATGATTGCCAGAGCTCACAGTTTCTTTTCTCGTTTTCTTCCTCCAACACCCCTTCCTTACAACTTCTCCTGTACCTTGATGATTCCCATTCCACTCTCACTTTTGTTTTGTAATATCAGTCAGAACCCTGCTATTCTCATCTAATTCCTCTTCCCAGTATTCTCCTTCGTCATCCATATTTTCTCCCTGAATCCCAATGCTATCTTTCTCCACATCAAAACCTTGTTCCAACACATTATTTAAGTTTCCTCTCCTCAATGTTATCAAGCCCTCAACACACCCATGCCCAGAAACCACCTCTACCCAGCTGCGAGAAGTATTATTCCGCCCCGTAACTCCCAGTTCTTGCTCTACCTCTATTCCTACCCCTTCTTGAGATACAGGGACATTAGTCATAGTCCCACCCCCCTTTACAATTGTGTCTTCATCCTTGTTGCTCTCTTTTACCCTTATCCCATTATCTTTCGTACCACTCCGCTCCCCTTTCTCAAAGACCCTTTTCTTAACACTACCCATCTCTTCCAAATTACCATCGTTTCCTTCTTCCAGCTCCCATCCATGTCCCATCTTATTTTCTTCATCAGATTTCCCTTTTTCTCCCAAATTCCCTCTCTGAGAATCTCTTAACTCTCTTCTCCTGTAACCCACTCGCAACCAAGGACCAAATTGGTCCTTAGTTACACAATTATTATCTATATCTTTCATGCGACATTCACATGACCTTTCTAAATGTCCAATACAACCACAATAATAACAAAAGTTAGGTAACTGTTCGTACCTGAACTCAACCCATACTTCCTTGCCATTGTGCCTTGATAGTGTACCCCTTTCGAGTGGGTTTTTTAGATCCAAGTTCACCAACACTTTAATATGCTTATATTCTGACCCAAAGGCTTCAGGAACCATCACATCCTTGACCTTCTCGATCAAATCCCCTAGAGTCCATCCCGTCTCATTCGAAATTCAGTGGGGTAGTAAATTCCAGATCTGGCACCATATGGGGGAGAAGTTGAATCTTTCATCTTTCGTAATCCAAATTTTCGTCCCACTTAAGTAGAACCAGGAAATGGCCATCAAAGGACCAAGGGCTTTGGCGTAAAATCAGATCTCTTTCCTCCTCCTTTGAGAACACGAACTGGAAGGTGTTCGTTTTCAATTTTTCAGTTCTGACCAAGCCCCTTTGATTCCATGATTTTTCCATGGCGTTCTTCACTCCCAAAAAATTTGCTTTTATCTCCCCAAAAATCTTACCCACCAGGCTCCTTTTTCCTTCTTCTACCCCTTTTTTTGTTTCTTTCGAACCCAGATCTTTCCCTTTTTTCTCTGATACCGACAAATTGAATTTTTTGAAACGCTCCATTATTTCGTTTTCCATTTTTGCCACTTCACTATCACAGCCCACAAAAACGCAACAATAATGTCCCCTTAGAAGTGCCTTCAAGAGTCCTGCCGCAGTAAGTGCAAGGAAAGAAACAAGATATTAAATATACGCTCATATAGGAAGACTGAAATGAGTATATTTAATATGGGTTTGGTCAAATTTTGTGCATTTCCTACTGGACTTCTACAACAGTATGCAATGTCAGTTTAGATTATTAATAAGTGCACTAGTTCGTATATCATCATTCGAATACTCAATGCTAAATGAAGTTTTATGCCAATTTGAATTTTGAAATTTTGAAAAAATTTGAAAAACTTTTTGGACCAATTTACTCCGCCAATGGGGAGAGAGGGAGCTCTCAGGAGGAGAGAGAAAGACTCTCACGAGGAGAGAGAGAGGGATGCATCACATGTTCAAGAATCTATCCGGTTGTTCAAGAATCTCACATAATACTCTTGGAGGTACCCCTCTGATCAAATTCTTGATGCGGCCCAATAAGGCGTCTAAATGGGCTTTTAAGTCACCCAGCCCAATAGCCCATTTATATATGGATATTTTATGGGTCTCATTTTTGGACACTTTCTAAATGGTGAACTATATACCCCAAGGCATTTATTTTAGGGGGTGAATTGACAATTTTCATTCTCTCTATAAGTCTTTATTTATTTCACTTTCTCTCATTAGACTAACTTGGGTATCGGAATACTAACCATTGTCTTGAAGGTCCTCGTCGTAATTGACCATTGATTCGCGGCCATCGGAATTTGCCTTCGTATATTCCAGTAAATCTCCTTTTCCTGCTTATGGCGGTGAGTTCTGATTGCTGACGTATAAATTCTATAGCTTGTATCATCCTATAAAGGCAGTCCCAAAACTTCTCCATCTCTTCTAAATATTGCATACAAGAACACGTTCAACTCTCCATCATCTACGGTTAGAGAATTTGGAAGGGTCTGCCCAATAACGGCCACAATGATGACAAATTTGTGTATTTTCTCATATTTACATTCAATCCAAACTCTACTGCCCCCACTTAATCTCATGTAGAAACCAGGAATAATGTGATAGTCGACTCTCACCCAAACCCATGCACACACACAAAAAAAAAAAGTAAATAAATAAATAAGACTAAACGCCAGAAAACGTCCAATACATTTGGTCAAAAAATCATTTTCGTCCCATATATTTTAAAACACTCATTTTCGACTCATTTCATCCAAAAAAAAAAAGATGATTTTTTAACTATTTACGTCCCAACTCAACTTTCTATCCAAGTGACCGTCAAATAGAGGGGTAATTTTGTCTTTTGGCTCGTCTTTTGATTTTCTAGTAATTAAGAGATAAAATAATAATTAAATAATTTCTAGATTAGTTAAAAATATTTTTATATTCAAAAAAAAATAAAAAATCTAAAATAAAATTTTCATACAATTTTACTAGGTGGGGCTAAGTAAATTTAATTTTGTTATTACTATGAACAGGAAACAATAAATATATTAAAATATTAAAAAAATTTCAAAATTCAAAATTTTAAAAATTTGACTCTATTTACCTCTTTACGCACTACAATAAACGATAATATTAATAAATATTATTTTTTTTCCTTCAAGAAAAAAAAGGGAGAAATAAAAACCCAATTACGATCCCCTCAACCACAACCATCATGAGTACCACCGCCCCCTTCCACCATTAACACCACCACGACCACCACCACCAACAACACAACCACCCAATACTACCTCCACCACTACCCTCAACCACCACAACCATACCGAATCCATTTTGGTTTCAGTAGTTTATCAATACCGACCGAAACCGGATATGAATGGCTTAAAAAATCCAAAATAGATCTTTCTTCCTTCTTCGCCGTTGATGCCTAATCATTAGGTGCTTAATTATCTTCATCATCCCATTACTCTTCACCTCCAAGACCACGAAATTACAGTTCTCTTTTAAACTCCAGTCCCATAACGTAGGTGCCTTAATTTGGGCATTTTTTAACAGAAAAAGAGAGTACAACAGTTCATCTATCTTCTAGATTTGAAATGAGTCTAAATCTGGAGTGAGTTTGATAAAACACTTGTCCCACATCGATGCCGTGAGAGACTTGGTATCAATATATAAGACACATGGGCTACTCCCCTCATTGCCAATTGGTTTTGAGGTGGAATCCCATGAGTTTCTATATGGTATCCGAGTGGGTCAGGCCCAGTATTATAATAGGCGATCGGACTAACCCATTAAAAATATCGGGTGATTTAGTCCATGCCCGTTGGGCCTGATGGGGAGTGATAAAACACTTGTCCCACATTGATGCAGTGAGAGACTTGGTATCAATCTATAAGACACATGGGCTACTCCCCTCATTGCCAATTGGTTTTGAGGTGGAACCCCATGAGTTTTTATAGAGTTTAGACAAATAATTTCAATTATGTTTTCAAACAAAGGTGTGAAACCCATATTCCGCCGGAGGTGATGCTGGATTTTGTTTGCGGTAAAAAAACTAAGGATTGAACCCTTTGGCTTTATTCAAAATCTGAATTTGATTTTTCTAAATCGGACAATCATTTGCTGGATCTGCTGAATTGTATTGTGATTGGGTTTGGATTGAACCCTTTACTAGAAATTCCCCTGACCGTCGACGATAAGGAAGAGGAGAACGTTTGGATTCTAAAGTTACCGTATTGTGATTGTAAACATGGAAGAACGAATTCGCCCAAAAATACAAACAACCACCAATTTGAGGATTTGCTCTCCTTTAACACGACCACCAATTTGAGGCAAAATCTGGATCCAAATCATGAATCTAAATCAACAAAATGATTTTGATGACTGGAGGATCAAATTGGTACAAGATTCAATGATTTTGGTTTTGTCGTTCGTAAAATCGAGTCAAAAACTGAGATGAAATTCTGGCGAAATTTGAATCCAAGAAATCAAGCTGAAATAGAACTGATTTTCACGTGTTTTGATGAGTATGGTGCAAGGAGCAAGGAGCAAGGAACATTTGGGTGTCAAATTCTTGAAGAATGGTCGCCTGGAAACGGAGATCGGAGCGACGGCGGCTGGAGTCGGCGACGAAGACCCAGTAATAAGTTTATTTAATATTTATTGTAGCAATAAGTTTAAAAATGAATATTTCTCAGGTTCAGTCGGCCCCACCAAGTAAATTAGCCAAAAAAATAATTTGATTTTCAACTTTTTAAATATTTCATAATATATATTATATTATTATTAATTAATTATTATTTTATTTCTTAATTAATGAAAAGTCAGAAGTCGTATTAAAAGACAAAAATGCCCTTGTATTTTAACGGTAAGTTGGACGAAAAGTTAATTTAGGATGTAAATAGTCAAAAAAATCACATTTTTTTGTTGAAATGGAACAAAAATGTGCATTTTCAAATGAGTAGAAGGAAAATATTTTTTTGCTCACATGTATGAGACGTTTTGTGTGGTTTAGTCAATAAATAAATAAATAAATTGTTATGCTAAAGTCCCATACCTCCCACTTCTTCTTAACACCTCTGATTATGTTTGTCATCATCTCCGCAGGTTCCTCATCGTGAAACTCGAGTGGAACACCATTCGTCCAGACCCCAACCAGAATATGGGTAACCTTTAGAAAAATAAAAATAAAAATCTCCGGTCTCCACCTTCTCAGTACTAGCACTGCTCCTGCAATGGCATAAGGTCCATTGTGAGAAACTGCGAAGAGCTTACTTACCGAATGAAATCAAAACGCATAGAAGTTAGCTTCCCTTCTAACAACTCGAATGCCTGGTCCTCAACAATCAATTAGTATGTTTCTTGCATGGTATTTCGGAAAAATAAGAGATAATTTTCCATTCAAAAGATAGCTCCCTTTATGATTCTTCATGGATGCGGCGTGTTCCTATTAAGGTTGACGCCTCCTTCTCATATCTGCTCCTTCTTTCTTTTGAAAATTCTGACCCTCAAGGTGATGAGATTGAATCAGACAAGTGATCTTCGTTAAATCTAGGGGTCCATTTATTATTTTGTTGCCCCTTCAACTTGGGTTACTAGAGCACCACGCATGAGCCCTTTGAAGAACACAGAATGTTTTGTGAGATCTAGAAAACGACTTGTGAAGATAAAAGGGACAGTGTTGGGTACAAAACCATAGAAAGGATAAAGTTCCATAATTGGTAGCTTACTTTGCTTATGAAAAGGCAGAACAAAAATGAAAAGTTTAGATCTGGTCGAAACTACTGTTGCTTCCCAAACAAAGCTAGGTGATATACACTTGCTCTATTTGTTAGACAGAGAAGCTCTACATGTTAGAGAGAAAACTCCGCCTCCAAAAGATTAAATTAAAAAGGTATATGTTGATAAAAAAAAACTAATTATTAATTAATTAGGAATAACAAAAAATGGAAACTTTAATACTAAGATGAGTGTATGACTTTGGAGATAATTTGATCAAACTTATTGTTTGACCAAGCTGGGAAAGAGAACTAATTGTTTTGTTTTTGTTTTTATTTTTATTTATATAAAAGTCATCTTGAGAATTCCATCTTTTTTTTTTTTTATCGAATTTCTGGTTAAACATTTTTCCGGATAACAATCTTTGTGTAGCTAAAACGGGATTAGATTCAAATAAATTACTCTTTTTTTCTAATAAAGTCCTTAGTAACATTAACGTGGATGCGGATACAAATAGCATCGCTTTTGTTCCATAAACTCTGCTTCATCAAGTTGTTGTAAAAAAAAAGAAAAAGAAAAAAAGAAATCCACCTCCGATTTTTTTTTCCCAAACTCCGTTTTCTTATAGATTTCAAACATTCTACCTCAAGTCTTATTTGACAAGTACAATCTGTTGTACTAGTTTGATTGACATTGAACTATAAAAATACAATACCAAGGTAGAAATACACGCGATGCAAAATTTTACTCTACAGACCATAATAACACACGTACTTCCTAGGTAGAAATGGAATTCTTAACCAAAATGAGAGAGTAGAAGACCACTACACAATGAGAATTGTGAAACCCTTGCGGACAAAAACCAAACTTGAACTAAAAATATTGATGTGGTCAGGTGTGCTCTAAGAAATTCCAAATTGAAATACATCATCTAATTACATAATACAACAATTCTGTTGAGATTCCAACATCTCTGGAGACCTGCAAAGAAGTAGGGACAACATTTTATTAGAAGAATGCTCAATATGAAGAAAAACAAGGTTGTTGATAATACTTAATCCAATAAATCTGAGCCTATATATGGTAATCGTGTTTTGAAGAAAAAAGATAACAAAAACCAAATGTGTGTAATGAGCGGTAAGGCTTACAATTGTCCGAAATTTGATAGATCAAAATCCGGGGCGAGCTCTTGAACAATGTCATTTGGCGGTTGGCCACAATCTTGCATTTTCTGCATAAGCTCGACGATCTTGTTGAAATTACCAGGCTCGTTTTCATAAACTACATTTAGTTCTTTTATCAGTTGGTACTGCTGGGAGAATCGTTGATATTCTTCCGTGCTCAGTTTGGCTATGTTGTCGTCCAACCATTTAGGATATCTTTCACCAATTTCTTTCATAGGTTCATGCAGAACTTCCTTAGACAGGAGCTGCTGCATCATGGTCTCTACAATAGACTCCATGTCCTGAAAAGAAAAGAAAAAACCCAGATTTAGACGCCAGTTTTCATGCAAGTAGGTTCAGCGAAAAACAACTATCTTCCCTTCTCACAACCCCATGTTTTCAGGTTTCACCAAGAAAAACAAATGAGAAGAGATATTATCAGGAGTTTTTCTTGGGCTGAACCATGCAGAACTAAGCAGACTCATAAGCTCTCGCAAGTCTCCATCTAAAATCAAGTTCCCTACATACATGTAAGAATGATTATGACGAATTTCCAGCACACCAGAATTCATTGTATCTCCCCATTATAGGTAAACTCAAAGCCTAGAGTTTTGTCAAATATGCCCCCCAAATAAGAAGCCCACCAATTTAAACAAAGAGAATGAGCCTCAATATTAGATCCAAAGATAATAATATCACAACACTTGCACTGAGAAAAGAAAAACAGGGAAATCCTCACTTCCAGCACGAAAAAATCACAAGTAAAGAGAGATTAGCTTGCCCCAAATTTATCTTGATGGAAATGGAAAACAACTTCTTCAAAATAACATTTATGTTGACTACCCCTTTGGTAACACAAGATTAATATTCATCTCAAAGTTTATCGAAACACGAAAGTTTACCCTATGCAAATGGACACCAAAAAATCTTAGCACAACACATTAATCCTCCTCATTTTTTGCCCTGAAAATTCTAACAACTGAAAGAACTCCTTTAGACAATCGGATGTGCTCATCCATAAAGGTGCCACTCTTGCAACCCATAAGATTCACATGAACCTTAAACCCCATAGATACAAAGAATTGCAGATAAAAATATATGGGTATTGAAACTGATGGTTAAGTTTTCCGATGGAAATTGAGAGAGAATGAGGCGAAAAAACACTATGTCAATTCGAAGCTGAACTCTTCCGATTTTCAGAACCTAAAAAGCTTTCCTCACTTATGGTACCATTTCGAGGGCTCAGTATGCCCTCTGATGGATTAATGTGTCAGTATCAGTATCACTATCACCCTATAAATTTGGAGCTCTTTATGTACAAGTACAATCTAGTATACGAAGAGATTGAATCAGCAGACAGAATACCCTAACAAATCAAGGCCAAATTTTAATCACAATTTATCATACAGCCAATCATTCACTCATGTGCCATAAGAAGTTTTCTACTATAAGATTATCTAAGAATAAAGCAGACAAAATGCAAATAAGAAAACACTACCTGTGAACCAGCAAGCTCCTCAAACTGCTTAACCCAATCTTCCATCATTGCATCATTCCCAAGATTCTCTCCGGGGGCTTTAGGCCCAGAAACCGATTCCAAACCTTTAACAGCCTCTCGAGTCTGCTCCCTCAGCTTATCAAGAGCCTCTGTAACATGGGATTCCTTAGAAACTTTTTGCTTCCCTTTTTTCTTACTTCTCAAATCAGGTAAACCCATCCCTAACCCTTGCACCCCACTTGGAGTAGAAGAACTGTCTTGCTTGTCCCCTTCACTATTCTCACCTCTACAATTCAATTGGAAAGAAAAAAGAAAGAAAGAAAAAAAGAAAGAGGAAGATAAAATTAACTTGATAAAAACAACAACCCTTTTCAATTCATAACCTGAATTTCAAACCCAGAAATTATCTCACAGCTATGTGAATTGTAATTATGTGGAAAGTCAAATAGATACACATAATACAGGAAAAAAGTATTGAACCTTTGAGCAGAAGAGGTCAGATTGAGACTCTGGAAATCATCTAAGGCGCCTGAAAGTCAATCAATTGATGAAAAACTAATTAGCAAAACCATAAAGAAAAAACCAAAAAAATCCCCAGAACTACAAATTTGTGTCATAAAGGAGTAGCTTACTATCAAGGAGTTGGTCCAAATCATCGGAGTGTTGTTCAGCCATGGATTTTCTCCCACTTTCTCCCCCGCTGTCTCTTTGTTTATTTTCCAACTTTCTAATGTGCGGTTTTCAGTAATAAAAGACCATCAATGCTCTTATCGATATGGGTTGTTTGGTGCAGGAAGTAAATAACGCGAACGTTGGTAGGCTTTTCGTTCAGTTAAATGCTAAATGACTTTAAATGCCCTTTATTTGTAGTAGTAACTTGTACTGGGTTGACCCGGTTTCGGCTGTAAATACCTGCATAGCTCTAAGGTTTTTCCGTCATTTTAAGTCTTGTTGTGAGATCAAGGAGAAGAATAGGTAGAGAGAGAGAAAATTGATAAAAGGGTGGTGAGAGTTGGGGAAGAAGTTTTTTTTTTTTTTTTCCGAAAACGTTGGGGAAGAATTAGAATTGAGAAAATTTTATTCAGAAATGATGATCCTTTTTCCAGTACAATGGTGTACGTTTATAGCTAAATCAACCTATCTAAGAAACAGAAATTACAATTTAATCATTCTAAAATTGCTTATTACTCTCTCCGTCACAAGAAAATAATCCACATTGAGTTTTGAGTTTTTTACTGTTTTTAGTACAAATTTGAACTCAATTGGCCGATCTACCCAAAGGTTGGCATGTGTTGTTAATTCTACCTTATTCTTTTTCGATTGGTCAATATTACCCTAAACTATCCAATCGTTAGCCGATTTTATCCAATTTGCCAATTTTCGTTTAAATTAACGAAATTCTATTAGTTTTAATTACAAAAATATCCTAATAGTTTTAAAATTTATAAAAATGACCCAAAAAATTTATAAAAGTAACAAAACATCTTTTTTCAGTTTTTACTTAATTTTTTTGTTTTTTTTAATTTCTTTTTACTAACTTTCGTAACTATAAAAATATATTATATGATCATTAAAAAAGATTTATTTTTTACACTCTAATGTACAAATTTATAATTACATATTTATAAGTCATTGTTTGATTTACATAAACATATTAATTTCTAAATAATATGGTTTAAATACAATTTTTTTAATCCAGTTTTTTCAATCTAAAGAATAAGATTATTTAACTAACACTAATTTTACACAAAAAATAAAATATTTAGCATAGATTAAAAAAAAATTGTTGGTATACTTTAATGTATTACAATTTAATTTAACAGAATTTAGATTGTATTGTAAAATTAAAAAAATAATTAAACTAAAATATAAATTTTCTTTAAAAGGCAAAGTACGAACAGAAAGTAAAACTAAAAAAAAAAAATGATTTCATTTCTACATTGATCTAGCACAATAATATAGTGTCGTGACATTTACAAAAATGGTATAAAATATTTATAAAAAAATATGTGTATTTATCACTGCGAGGGTTTAACATTTCGTGATAACTTTTTTGATATATTAACATATCTAACTTTAGCAGGAAGTTTTTTTTTAATAAAAAAACAAAGAAAATCTACTCCAGTATTGGAGCCCACCTTTTTTTAAAAAAAATAGATTGCCCCAGTGAGAATCGAGACCTCGAACACAGTAATAATCATCTCCCATCTTAAATCACCTGACCATCCAACTCAACCATGTTTAAATGTGAATAAAATCACTCTCCCGGTTAGAAATCGTTTGGTGAGAATTAATCTTATATCTATTCTCATGAAGCTCAACATCCTAAACACTAGATTGTACCCTATATTTTAGTTTAATTATTTTTTGAATTGGATAATACAATCTATAGACTGTTTAGTTAATTTGTAATAAATTAAAGTGTACTATTAATTTTTAATCTATGGTAGATGTTTTAATTTTTTGTAAAAAATTAGTTTTAAGTCAAAAAATATTATTCTTTAAATTGAAAAAAAGATTAAAAAAATAATATCATTATTGTCAAGTTATAATATTAAAAAATTAATGTGTTTATGTAAATTAAGCATGAGTTACAAATATGTATATCTATAAATCTGCACAGTAGTGTTTAAAAAAAATATTTTTTTAAAAGATCATATAATATATTTTTATAGTTATGAGAAATAGCAAAAAAAATAGAAAATCGAAAAAATTAAATAAAAAGTGAAAAGAGACTGTTTGGTTATTTTTACAATTTTTGGGGTCATTTTTATAATTTTTAAAACTATTACGGTGTCTTTGTAATTAAAACTAACAGAATTTCCGTTAATTTAAACGGAAATTGGCAAATTGGACAAAATCGAATACCAGTTGGGTAGATTAGGGTAATATTGACTAACCAAAAAAGAATAGAATAGAGTTGACAATGCATGTAAACCTTTGGGTAAATCAGCTAATTTTTTCAATTTTTTTGGGAGGGAAGTAGTATTAAAATAAATCCTAAAATTATGGCAAACCCTCCGGTTAAAATAAGTTTTTATTCTCTACAATTGTCAAAAGGAAAAATAATAATTCGAGCTACCACAAGGTTTTGCATCTGCACCACGGAAACCATCATCTAAAGTTGGTCTGTCCGCAAATGTGACTGTACCTCAATTAGCAATATCTTTGCAGATGAATCGCGCATATTTGGAAAACTGATCATATATCAGTTCAAAATTGCTGTTAATCTGTTGATTACAGTTTAAACTGATACTATAACTTGAGATACATCATAAAATGGAGGCTAACAGGAAACTTTTTCCAGTTCTGCCAATAGGATGAATTTGTCTCTCTTTTGGTTTTAAAACCATTCTAAAGCTCTAGAAAAATTGCTCCGCATGTCTATATTCAACCAAGCTAACAAGAATCTGTACTTCAGTCACCTCATTATTTAACATCCTACACCATGTGCAATATCATCAAAGCTATTCTCACTGCCAAAAAAAAGGCTAATGCAAGCTCAAAGATAGAAGTCCTCTTAACTTTATAAAAATCGCTTGAATGTTCCAGAAAATTACCACTTCTATACACCTTTATTCATTCAACGTTATTTACTTGATACACGCCCCTAAAACGCTGAACTTAAGACTTTCAAACTGTCAACTAAACTGCCACTCTGCCAGAGCAACTAAAACATCAAGATTCAGCAGCATTAGTTCTTTGACTAGCCTTACTATGCGACTTCAATTCTTACATGAACTCTGCCCCATACTGTGGTGAAAGGAACCGGATCCTCTTCCCTTCAGAACATTAGACTCTTGACCATCTTCAAAACTAAAGAAATGTGAGGTTTGTCTAAAATACCTGCAGGACTAGCTATTGAGACGAATATCTATCCCATAATACATGCTCATCAATTCGGCTTAACTTCCCATCATCAAGTCTCTTCCATGTTGTAACCCTCTCAACGCCAGTCCATGTCCTATCACCTTTTGCAAGTTCTGCTAATATTATACGAGCTCTTCTTGGCCAGCCTGCCCTTCCATAGCCATGATATCCAATACCTCCACCATAACAAAACCAAATACTGTCTAGCTTCCCACAGAAATCGTTGGTGTGGTCATGACCTATAAATACAGCCTTCAGATTGCCCATGGAGGTAAAGCTCTGGAAGACTCCAGAGTTAACTATTGAAACAGCTGCATGTTCCTGGTACTGGCCAACAATCTCTTTCATGGGCACTTGACGAATTTCTGGAATTGGAATGTGAAAGAATGCTAAAGCAGGAGGATTTAACCATGCTGGGGAGATATCAACTGATTTCATATCCAAACATTTTCCCTGTTATTGAGTGCCCTGCCACATGTTAATAAAATCCAATTGGCAAAATACATCTCGTGGACTGGAATCGAACTTTTGACTATGTTTAGACACTTGAAATGGAATTACTGTGGAAACTTTTCTTCTTAAAAAAATAGTACGTTTAATTGTCAGGATCCAGAAACTTGGAAAACAGTGAAGAAAATCCATTAAATAAAATTAGCGTAAAATCTGAAGTCAGCATACCTGAAACTTGTTAGATACACCACGAAGCCAACCGAGTTGAGATTCTTTAATCCAACCATAAGTTCGAATACCATTGACAGTAGCTCTGTCTCCACTATCAAGAAAATATAAATTGAGGACACTGCAGTTAGCAAAAGAAGAACCCAAAGCACCCAACACTTCCAGATTATAGTTCCCAAACCCATCAATATAATGCATGGAAGAGTCTTCACTGTCTTCGTCTGATGGATAAGTTTTGGACAACGAAAAGTCCATTAGGGAGATGAAAGACATCAACTCTCTACGAGACATAGTGGATTCTTGGTCATGATTCCCCAAAACAGCAGCCCAAGGAAGACCAGACTCCAAAACTGGACCGAAGGCTTCCAATAGAGACTCTGCTGCATCAGTTGCACTAGTCCCAAAAATGTTGTCTCCTGGATTTAGAAGTTGAACAAAGAAACAAGATTAAACGAAAATTAAATCCCAACACCAGCTAAGTGAATTGAACTATGTTAGTTTTGGAAAAAAACACAGTTTCCACATCCTATTACATTAAGAGAGGTTTTAGCCAAGGTTAATGCATACATCACACTTACATAGTTACATAGAGGAAGGGCTGAAGTGAAAAACATCATTAATGTAAATACGTTTATTATATTCAAGTGAGGCAATAATCTTTAATAGTAGAGCAGACTTGATTAGCTGAAGTCTTCAGATATCTTTTAAATCCAAGAGTGGGCAAATAATTTTAACATATGAGCATAGACTATACTAATGATGGACCAGAATTAACAACAGAGTTCAGCATCTCATTTCATGCGGAGGAGTAAACAACAGAGTTCAGCATCTCATTTCATGCGCCGGAGTAAGCTCGCTTGCGCCAAAGGTAAATATGATGCACGAAGGAAAGTATTGGTGTTATTATATCGTTGGTCTGCCCATTCCTAATCCTAGCACATTACACTATCCAGTTCCCCACCTTTTGAACACAGAAAAAGAGGAAAACTTAAAAAGACTCAAACTTGGGCATCTTTTAACGTATCTTTTCCCTGCAACTCCCATATTCTTCGAGTGTGGAATCAGAGAGAAAAATATGACTAGAAAACAATCAATAGGACATTTCAGCTTAAAACCAAAGAGTGACCATTTTTGTTGTAACAATTTGAAGTTGATTTTAATCTACGGCATTTATTCTTTCACTTTTATCTTTACAAGGGTGTGCGGTAGTGATGTTGCTAAACGGTTGTGCTGATGAATCTAGGTGGCCTAATACCAAAAGCAATTGTTCATTGCCTCCATTTCCAAAACGAAGCATACATTACTCTAAGTGACAATAAGAATATTCTCCATCCTCAGGCAGGGGTGAGAGACCCTCTCTTTCATCATTTACATTGTCCTAAAGGTTATTCTAGATGCTGGTCATGACATTTTCCAACCGCCTAACCCCTCCACCACCCCCACCCCCCCACCCCCCTCGCGGGGTATTTTCCTTCTAGTACCCCATATATTAACCCCACGATAACAAAGGACAAGCTGAAATTTACAACTATACCAATTAGCTCAATTTATGTGTCTTGTCTCAAGAATTTTGATAATTTGTATTCTGAGAGGCCAGACATAAATGGATAAAGTAGTTCCGTTTTATTAATGCACAATATTGATTAGTTTTAGGGACTCGTTTCACCGCACTCATATTATATTTAACAGTTATCATGACTGCACAAACAAGTATCAAGTTGATGGGTTTGTATTACTAGATCACCATCGGAGCAAAAAAGTTCATGTCAATAGTGATTGGTTCACAGATTACCAAGTAGTAATAGGCTCAACGCTCTTCTTTATTACCTTGGTTGATTTGTACATTTCTTGACACTAATTTAGGAGATCAATAGCATAGCAGGTGTGCTAGCCAACTATTTGACTACTTAACAACTATTGGAATTTATCAAAATCTATTAGCAGGGTTCGAACCATTCCCTACTGACATGGTCCATCACAGTGATCACCTCCTAGGCAGTCCTTGTACTTATGGATAGTGCTCATATTGGGTGCAGCATTCAAATACCAACTTTGATTAACATTAGGTGAAGTATAGTAAACAAAATAGAACATCTGAATTTGTGTTCGTTGCATAACAGTTCGATAGCTTTTTGTCAACTTGACTTCTAGGGAACATCCAATCGGTATAGAGTTTATAGTGAGTGAAAATACTAAAGCTGAAGCTATGATTATCATAGGAATGAAAATAAAAGACACAGATTTCTTTGTGCACAGCAAAAGCAATCCGCAAAAGAACAAGGAGACTAACATGTAATAACTGAGCTTAAAGTTTCCATGAATGAAGAGAACATGCCTAATGAAAGCTCAGTTCTGATGACTACATCAAATATTAGCAGGGTTCAAGACAGATGGTGACCTACAAGAGAGCTGACTTCTTTTTTCCCCTTTTTCTTAGAATTCCTCAAAGGATTTCTGCATCACAAGCTCCATCTTAAGAAAATACTTGATTTGACAACAGATTTCATCCAAAACCTATACAGTGAAACAAAATTTGATATAAACACTAAAAGAAACAGGAATAAAGCTAAAGTACAACCATAATCATTTAGATAAACAACCAATGACTTATGTAGACAAGCATTAGTGAAATAGAACGACACTTGGAAGTCTTTTTCTAACAGAAAGTAAATATTTATCACAAGAAAGTGAGGGGAATCATCTTCTTGCCATATAACACTATCATTCAACTGTGCTCACACATATTGGCATTGGTGGAACCTAGTCTGGCAAGAGGACAGAGAGGAATTGTCACAATTAGAGGTGTTCGTAAGAAAGGGAGGTCACAAAATCACATGCTTGTGGTCTGTACCGTACCAAACATGAGAAATTATAGCATGAGACACAAATATAACAACAGCTAACTCACTACAGAAAACTTTTCCATGATGATGATGATAATATAATAATAATAATTGTAATAATAATAATAATAATAATAATAATAATAATAATAATAAGAAGAAGAAGAAGAAGAAGAAGAAGAAGAAGAAGAAGAAGAAGAAGACAGGAGGACTTATATCTGCTTTAGTGACGACTTTTGCTGTCTATAGAACCTTTCTCGTAGTCTGAAACTACTCACAGTTTATTGCTATATTTCCTGAAGCCTCCCTAAACAAATGTAACTTTTAAGTTGAAACAATTGTTTCTACTGTTAAAGATGTAGTATTCTGAGTCATAAAACAAGAAGTTAAAACATTTTGCGGTTGGCACTTGGCAGCTTGGTCTTCAAGAGATTTTGAATTTTAATTAACTTTGATCTACTTCAAATCCTCACCAGAAAAATAATTGAGCAAAACCTTAGTTACACTCAATTCTGTAAACCGTACACATAAGCATAAGTACACAAGATGCAAGAAACTATCCTTCCTTTCCATTCATACTTGAGCCTTATCCGACGAACAAGTAGGACAAATGATTTATGCAAAGTCTCCAGATGTGCACATAAATCACTTAATTATGTAAATTAAGGAGATTTCCATTGCCTAATGTCACAGATTGGATTCATTTGGAAGACAGAAAAAAAAATTCACAAATTATGACTTGCAGACCTGAAGTTTTTAGTTTCACATCCTAGAATTTATATTTTACCACCTCTGCTCCTTCGTAAATTTTCATTGTAGAAAACAGTAAGTTCCCATAGAAGAAACCTAAATTACGAACAGAAATCAGTACTTTGTAGCAATAAATCACACATGATGACGAGGAAGTATGCAATTCATATGTCAATAAATAATTATACGTAACCAGAAATGAATCAAATTACCAGTGAAAGCAACGAAGTCAGGTTTTTCAACCTCAATCAACCTCCTTAGAAACTGAGTTGTATTCAGATCAGTACAGTGCTCAAACTCAGTTTCAAGAACATCCCTACACCGAGTGAGCAACCCATTTCCGTAATGCATATCAGCCACCTAAAAGGGAATCCCAAAACCACTAAATTAAATAAAGAAACGAGAACCCATATTTTGTGTGCCAAGGAAATATATCAAGAAAGACGAAAATGACTTTTCAAATTACGAATCGGGTTTATAAACCTGAAGGATTTTGAAGGTCCCGTCGGAGCGGAATCGCAAAGGGAGTTCAGGCTGCTTCTTGATTCGGACTTTATGGTTGTAAAGAGTGAGTTTGTGGGCGAATAGAAATGTGAAAATCAGATGTACGAATGCAATAATCAAGGTGAGATAGACCAACGAATACCATTTTCTCTCTAAATCCATAGGCTTGGACACCTTCCTTCAAATTACTGGACAAATTAGTGTAAGAACTATGACAAACCATGAACTGTGAAGTCGGCTTTGAATTTTTTAAGACAGGTAATAAAATAATACAATGACTAATGAAAATAAATAGTAACTGAGTTGGCTCTCTATTTTGTTGACACTTTAATGTAAAAATTATAGTCTTTTGTCTTCAAAAATTATACTTTTACTCTTAATTAGTGTAGTCACGTCACTCACTATAATTTTCACTATTTGTATTATTGTTGAACAAACATCAAACTACATTCAAAGGTTTTTTCTTCTATTCTTTTGTAGCTATGAACAAAAACAAAACAATGGAAGTATTATAATATAATTTGCTAATTTTACTAATCAGTATCAACAATAAGCTTCTAAATTAACCATTGCCAAACTTCAATAGTGAGAATGATTATAAATGATCCAAATCATGAGAAGAAGGGACAAAAATAACCTCTAAAGGAATGTGTAAGTTACTGTTGAAGTATTTGCATAAAGCAAATATTTCAGTAGCAAAAGGATGACGTCAACAGTTGACCTTTCAGCTACCAAATCATGCAAAATGCATGTTCTGCCTGTGATCAAAGCTGTGTCAACTACACTGGCTGAAGAAATGACTGTGATCCAACATTCGTCACAAACACGTTTTCAGAATAACCGCCAAAGGCAACTTGATGATGAGCTGGATGATCTAGTTAGAAAAAGGAAGGATCGGGAACCTCCTTGAGTCCTTATGTTGCAATATTCTTGATTTGATCATACTGAATATTCTAAATTTTGTACTGATGATGTAATTAGAAAAGTTTAGAATAGAATTAGTATAAAAGTAGCATCAGGGACTTCATTTGGTTAACTTAATCAATATACAGAGAATTCCAGAAAGAAATGGCTTCCTTTAGCTTCTTGTTCAAGCTTTCTTCATTTCAGTTTTCATCAACTTCATTTCTCGTTTGATGGTATCAGAGCAGGTTTTTTCTGCATGATCACTTGATAATTCCGCTGCTTAATTCTTTTCTTGATCAGTGAATAGATCTCGTTTTTCCTCTTCTTCGATTTCTTGCTTTTCTATTTTCTTTCCGATCTATTTTAGATCTGGAGCCAGTTCTTGATTTCTTTACTTTTTGATTCATAGTTTTTCAGTTTTACCAGTATTTTACTTCAATTCTCAGTCATCTTTGATTCTGGATGACTCGTGAAGGAGTTTTGATGGCTACGGAGAACAAACAGTTGGCACTCCATGGATATGATTCTCCAGGAACAATGCTGGTCACTGCTCCATTGACGGAGAAGAATTATCTTATATGGAGGACTTCGATGCTGACTGCTCTTGAGGCAAAGGTCAACGTTGGTTTCATTGATGGAAGCTATACTATGCCAGATCTCTCATCTCCTGATTATCACAAGTGGAGGCGTGTTAACAACATGGTGGTGTCCTGGATTAAGAATTCTATTTCACCAGAGCTGGTCAACAGTTTTACATTCATCACAGATGACAAACGACTGTGGGATGAGATCTTTGAAAGGTATGGATCTTTTAATTCGGCATTGTTATACCAATTGAAGAGAGAGATTGCCTTAGCTAGACAGGGAGACTTGTGAATTGTTCAATATTACAGTCATGTTAGGCAGCTGTGGGATCAATTAGAGCAATTAAGGCCTGTTCCAGCTTATCCTGAGGCTGTAAGACAGATTCTGTTAGATCGTGATGCAGAGGACAAGGTCATGCAGTTTCTCATGGGTGTTAGAGATGTCTATGAGGCAGAGAAGAGCCAGATCTTGATGATGGATCCGATTCCGTCTGTGAACAAAGTGTATGCCATGCTTCTAAAAGTAGAGAAACACAAGTAGTTGGCTAATTCGATTGTTTCAGTGACTGAGAGTTCAGCCATGATGGTCAAGGATCAGAAATGGAAGAAGGGAGGCAACTCAAAGGCACCAACAAAGAAGGATAAGGGACAACTGTATTGTACTCACTGCCAGAAGACGAATCATCTGAAGGAGAATTGCTTCAAAATCAATGGATATCCAGACTGGTGGAAACCTCCTAAGGGAAAAGGACTAGCTGCTCACAATGTTGAAGTGATGGATTCTCCACTAGATTCAATGGATCATGTCAACAAAGACTGGAATACTGTGATTTCTGAAGTAGTACAGAGAGAGATTGGTCGCTTTGTGAAAGGCAAATTCCCAATGGATGGCGTTTCGGGTGATCAAGTCAACTATGCATACTACCAGGACTTTGCAGGTAGCACCATTTTCTCTTGTTTAAGTTTTGATCTTACTGATTATATAAGAAAAGGTGCATGGATATCAGGTATAGGAGCCACTAGTGATATGTGTGCATTCTTAGAACTCTTAATCCAAGTTCATTATGTGAATCTTTTTACTCCAATTTGTTTACCAAATGGTAGCATTAGATCAGTTCACTCCACCGGTAATCATCAAATGGCAGACAATTTAGTTCTTAAAAAACTGTTTGTATGTGCCATCTTTTAAGCATAATTTGCTTTCTGTTTGCAAATTAGCACGGGCTTCACATATCTATATCGTTTGATGAGTTTTGTCTGTTACAGGACCTATGGACTAATAAAATCCTTGCTGCTGGAAAATTTATCAGAGGTCTTTATATTTTAGACAAAACATCTTTCAGTAACAAAGCTATTTTGCAGTCACAGACTCTATATGCTTCTGTTGTTCTTAGAGCTAAACAATTTCATGTAGTAGGATCTATGAATAAAGGCTGCTATAGAGCATTATACTCTGTTTCTTCATCTGTATGGCACTGTAGACTAGACCATCCGTGTATCAATGTAATAAAAGGGATAAGATATGATGTAAACCTTTCTGATGCTGAAAATGTTACTAAACAATGTCAGATTTGTCCTTTATCAAAGCAAAGCAGGAATGTTTTTCCTTCTAGTTCCATTAAAAGCACAACCATTTTCTCTTTATCACACATTGATGTTTGGGGACCTTATAAACAACCTTCTGTGAATGGATCTCAATTTTTCTTAACCATTGTTGATGATTATAGTCGAAGTGTTTGGACTTACCTGTTTAAACATAAAACACAGGTTTATGATCTTCTTGCAGCCTTCTTCGTTTTTGTACATAATCAGTTTCATTGTCAAGTGTAGAAGATAAGAACTGACAATCGAACTGAATTTGTCAATGATAAACTTCAGCAGTTGCTATCCAAATTAGGCATAGTTCATCAGAGAACTTGTCCATATATACCCCAGCTAAATGGCATTGTTGAAAGAAAGCATCGCCATAGTTTGCAGGTTGCAAGGTCTCTACCAACGTTCGCCATCCCCAGAAAACTTACCTGTTTAAAGCATTTTTTGGGGGAATCTATTTAGTCTCCTTTTGAAATTCTACACAAACTTAAACCAGATATCTCATATTTCAGAGTTTTTGGTTGCTTAGCATTTGCTATAGATCATAGTCCTAGTAGAGAAAAGTTCGATGCTAGATCTCATAGAGGGATTTTTGTGGGGTATTCAGCAAATCAAAAAGGGTAAAAAATCTTCTATCCCTCTCTTCATAAAAACATCATCTCAAGAGATGTTATATTTCATGAGAATTTCTTTCCTTATCAGTCTCCGAAGGATTCTTCCTTGCCTCTTCCTTGCATCAATCTTCATGATGATGTTTCAGATCATGAATCACCTGCTGGAACTTCTTCTTCTGCTCCAACTATTAGTATCAGAAATGATCACTCTCCTGAAACCAATAGTGATCATCAAACTCCAAATTCTCCCTCCTCAGAATCTCACCAACCTGATTCACCTCACCATATCCTTTCTCAACCTGATCCATCTCACAATGTTCTTCTTGAGTCTTTCAACCATGATTCTCAACCAGTTCTTAGAAGATCTTCCAGAGTCTCTAAAACACCTGTTTGGCAATCAGACTTTGTTAGGCCTTCTTCTGCTCATTGTTCTAATGTTTCTGATTCAACTTTTTTGCCATCTGACTGTGTTTTCTCTACTGCACATATGCATTTTTTAGCCAACATATCTGATATTCAGGAACCTGATAATCATGCCAGAACTAATGAGAAATGGTTGGAAGCAATGAGAATTGAATTGTAGGCTTTGCAAGACAAGGACACTTGGGAGATAACCAGTAAGGCAGTGGGGTACGAATGTGTATACAAGATCAAATGCAAGCCAGATGGTTCTGTGGATAGGTACTGATAGCAATCTCGTAGATGAAGAAAATTTCATAATGCAACCATCAAACAAGAAAGTACGAAGATAAGTTGTCTATCCCATGAAACTCAAAAGAGTGCGGAAAATTCACAGTAAGACGATCATTTATCTAAGGATTTCTATCTCTCAACTCAAACCAAGCAAAGAACACATTATCCATGAAAGATTCGATTTAAACAACAACCCACACTAAGAATAGTAAGGACACCATTTAATATACTCGATCAGTTATCATTCAAGAGACTCAAGAAAGGTAGGAGCAAACAATGCTCAACTATGAAGGAATAATCTCCATAACCAACAAAGATATGCAACACATACACTATCTCAAAATGCTTATACCAAAGCACAACTCATCCAACAAAAAGTAGGACAAACCCCACAAAGGAACTCATGAACACACACATCATGAATTCGAAAACCATAGCCAAAAGAAAGGCTCAACTCTCGAACTACTAGAAGTAGTATGAAAATAAGAAGTTTAGTTTTAAAACAATTCTATCAAGAAGCATACTTGAAAAAGATCGGTTTATGCAAGATCAAAAGATCCAAGACAAGATGAAAACCCTCTTGGTTAAATCATACTTGACACGAAAAATGGACACACCATTTAACAAAAATTCCTCACAGGAAAAACTCTCATTAGAGAAGACTCAAAATGACCACACATGGGTGCTTTAACTTTCGGTCATACCCCACTATTTATAGGCTAGCAATTTTGGCCAAAGCACCAAAAAAGAAGACCAACTAGGACTCTCTAATCTTATCTCACGCAGGAGTAGAAGTAGAAGAGTATTTGATCTCTTTGACTCTATCTAAAATCTAGGAAACCTTATCTAAATGACTTATCCTCAAATAGGATAATACTTAGAAGGAATCTAAGACTCCTAATT